GGTACACAGCAAATAAAAATGAATTAAATTCAGGTAAGTTGAATTGAATATCAATATCTAGATAATTTTGCAAGGACATGACAAGTGCTTTCATTGTAAGGTGTTTGGGCTGTCAGTGTCTGTTCCACTGTCCTTTATCCTTGAAGGTCATTGGACATCTTCATTAGGGTAGGAGAGGGAATTTTAAAACATGTGTAAAATAATTCTGTTGCTTTAAAATCTCTTTTGAATTCCAAACTGTGAAGGCCGGCTCACCCCACATATCATTTTTCTTGATTTCCTCTTTGGAGGTCAGGACCACGTGTCCATCCATTTCACCTGGTCTATTACGCATATTATTTCCATGTGTTCTTGTTGCCTTCAGGAATTTACTGTCTTCAAGACACTATAAATATTCACCACTCAAGTTTGTAAGAAACTCAAAAAAGGCACAGACCCTAGTGAAAAAAGGAATGCTGTGGAATTGGCTGTCATCAAAAGAGCTTGTCACATCCCTGAAATCTGCCATGGCTCAGAATCCATCTCAGGCAGCCAGAGAAACCCATCCAAAAAGCAGCTCTGAGAGTGATGATATAATACAGAGTAATGCGGTTGAAATTTTGTGCTAGGTAATGTTTTAAAATTAGGTGCTACATTCCAGCGTGTTTCTAAGTTGACAGTCATTGGGCAGCATTCCATAATGTCTCTACTTCATGCCTTAACTGAGCCGCCCAGGAGCACATCAAATGTTACAGCTTCAAATTGTTCTAATGTGCTGCTTGCCATGTGGTTGTCACAAAAGGAGCACTTTCTTTACTTTGTGTAGCTTATAACTTTTTTAAAAAAATTACCTCTTTGAGTTGACATTTCTCATAGGTCTAATCTGCCCTAATATTAAATTTGGTTAGCCCCTTCAAAGTTCAGAATTGAAACTAGTTCAAACTCTTTATGCACTTGCTTATATTCAAGATAATATAAACCGTGTTAATTTCAACTTCCAGAAGTCGTTAGAGATTTTGTAAAGGCTTAACTTAGAAAACAATTTTGGTTATGTAATATCTCCGTGAATAAAAATATGGGACTTCTGAGATATTGCAAAAGGGACCTAATTTAGTCTGCAGTTTAGAGTCATTTTCTCAACCCAGGACCTTATAAAAGTAGCTCAGTTGTTGGGTAGATGAGGGTCTGTTGTCTTTGTGCCAGTGTGGATAACGTAGGGGTTGTATTTTTCAGCTTGTGTCTAGGTCCAAACACCTATGAGAGACTGTTCTCCTCCCATCTTTGTGGCAACCTGCCTTACATACCACTCTGTCCACTAACTAGGTCAGCTATGCAGTGGTGTCCAAACCTGGCAGAGTCAAAGAAGTCACTTGGATAGCTTTAAAAACCTCACAATTCCCGACTGTAGCCACAGAGAGTCTGAATCAGCAGACGAGAAGATGTGGCCTTGGCCACAGAGTATTACTTTCTGATGCCTTCATGGCCCTCAACACAGTTTGATGACGGGAACACACCAATTCACCCATGATACACGGCATGTGGAGCGGCATTTAAAACGGCAGCAGAATGCTGTGGACAGATTGAGAGAAGAAAGAGGGCACACAGAGAGCACAGCCATGGGTAGGGGCTAAATGAGAGACTGTTAAGAATACCCAGTGCTGAGTAGGGGACAAAAGCATCGATTCTACTTCACACCCTCCTATTATATCCACAGACTTGAAGCCAGTTTCTGCCTTGAAATGCTCTCCTCTTTCCCCACATCTGTCATGTGACTGTGTGTGTGTGTGTGTGTGTGTGTGTGTGTGTGTTGTGGGGGTTTGTTATGCCTCTTTCTTCAGTTTCTTATCATAGCCAGATACATAGAAAATGAGACAGAAAGATAGAGATATGTACACTTCCGCCAAAGTGTAAGGAGACAGGAAAGAAAGGTATTTAGGAGGAAACAGGAAGAAAACTCGTGAAGAATACGTGGGAGCAGTTCCTGGTGAGTGTGGAGTAAAAGCATTGTTTTCCTTTCATCTTCTGAAGATATCCTGACTATTTAGCATATGTATCTGTTTCCTAAGTGTATGGCTGTATTTGTAAAGACTGGTAGCACTGCCTTTGGAGGCAATCCTTCATTAAAATATCCTTCTTATGTGGGGAACCCTCTGTATTTATTCCAAAGTAAGCTGGGGAAGTCCTGAGTGATTGTCATTTATTCAGCATATTTTTATTGATGAGAGTGCTAGCTGCATGGAGTTCACAGCCAGTTGGGGATGCAGATGCATGGACAGAAGATGACAGCACTGAGTGGTAGGTGCCTTGGAGAGGGAGGGACAGAAGGAGGGGAGCACAAAGGAGAGCACTTCACCCCTCTTGGGGCTGAGGGAAGGCTTGGAAAGGAAGTGCAATCTCAAGTTGCATACCGCAGGGTGAAAAGGAGTGCGCGTCAAGCAAGAGTGGCTAAAGAACTGAATATGCCAGCCTTGGGGATGGGAAAGCATGCTTCCATGTCTGGAGAACTGAGAGTGGTCCTAAATGGCCAGGCTGAAGACAAGAGATGAGGCTGGAGAATTAAATGGGGGTCAGACCATGAGGAATCTTATGCACCATATTAGAAAGTTTCATGTTTATAATCGGGTGGCGCATTTCACATACTGCTTTTATAGTTAGCCCTCTTCACCTTCTTTTTGTCAAAGACATCGCAAGCAAGAGGTAGTACCCTTCTGTTTCCCACAAATAAACAGGAACTTCCAAAAGTAGGCATGTCAGAGAAAAGGGTTAACATAGCAGGTGTCTATTCTTAGAAAGACTTGCTTGCAAAATTGGTGCATGGCCAGCTTTTGGGAACTTGCCTGGTAAACAGTTTCCTACAATGACATAAAACTTTTCATAGCTGGTAACAGTGGTTTGCTGTGTCTAGACTGTACAAACCGAGTGGCTTATATGGAAACCTCTCCTTCTGGGACTCTGGAACACTGGTACATGCATGCTGGCCTGAAGGTGCCTGTGTGGCTAGCTTCCTGATGAAAATCTTGGCTGCCAAGTCTGTAATAGGCTCTCCTAGATGGACACATCACACACACATTGCTGCATTTTCATATCTGGGAGAACAGTATACTCTGTGTGAACGTTCATGAGAAGGAGAGAATGTAGGAAAGCTAGCAGATAGATCCCTCCAGACTCCACCTATTTTTTTCCCTTGTGAGTCACTATGTGTCCATACTACAACACAGAGTTAAGTCAAAGCCATGAGTACAATTGCGTCCTAAGGCCCATGAGTCCTTCCAGTGAATCTCCTAAAATAGGGGAGGCCTTGAGGATCCCCAGCATGCATACTGTGAATATTTACCTAGAACTAGTTATTGAATGAGTAAATAAATTGAGCTATTAAAAGGTAGAAGTATTAGTGTTCATATATATACGTGTGTGTGTGTGTGTGTGTGATTTTTTTTAACCAGAATTTGTTTAGTTGGTTTTTATCTCTCACCGTATTTCTCAGATTCTCAAAGCTGGCTCTGAATTACTTTTGACTTTTACTTTCAAATGATAGAGATGTATCAGTTTTGAAGAGAGTTAAAAAAAAAAAAAAAAAAAAAAAAGAGCTACCAGTTCTAAGGGCAATTTAAAATCAGGAGATCCAGAAAGGATTTAAATAATAACAAGCATCCCAAATTAGCTCTTTTCCATTTCTTCTATCAGGTGAGGACTTACTTAATTGTGCATTTCCAGGTACTAAAGCAACCACATTATTGTATTTGTAGTACAACACCCTAATACAGACAGCCTATCTAATTACATTGAAATACATTAGTATTAGTATTTGGGAAATAAAGAGTGATGGATTAGATACTTATATGTAATTTATACCGGGAAAATTCCACTCAAGCCTTATCTAAAAGAATTTCTTTTGGAACAATTAAAATAAATTGTTGACTTTTTAATGAGCTTCGGATCCTGCCTGAAGGAACTTAAAACCAACCGGGCAATTCTTGAATTTCTTATGGCTTCGTCTTCGTTTTTGACAATTCCTTAGCGCTCTGTCCTGTCTTACTGAGTTCCTGGCAGCAGTGTTAACCTGTTGAGTAGTTAGTTCCCCCTTCGACTGGCCTTACCTTTTTTCCCATCAACTTTGTCTTATCCTGGACTGAGGTACAAGGATAAAAATGATGTGTTTACTGCCCTCTGCTTTCCGTTTGACCTTGTAGTTTTTCAGAGTAGCCTTTTCTGTGACCGAGTGGTAAAGAGCATTGCTTCTTCAGCATGGCTGGGCTTGTTTTGCATCTTTATTTATCTTATTGGAGAGGACTTGCAGTTCGTAAATGGACTTTAATATAGAAATTCCCTGCAGTTATCAGTATGCAATGACATGGCAATTTCCCAAAATGCAGTTTAAGGGTAGTTTTCTTCATAGGCTATTTACATTGGTTTTGCTTCCATTTTATTGCCTTCCCATTCCTTTATTTTTCTCTTTTTTCCTTTTTCATTATCACGTGGTCAGATTCCTCCCCTCAGCTGGCCATAAATACTTATTTTAATACTTATTATATTTATGGAACGAAGTTTTATGTTTTTTGTTCATAATTTTAAAAGCAAATGAAACATTTTACTATATTTTTCTGTTTATAAGGACTTGATGGGAATGCTTTTTATTCATGTGAGCCCCGGTTCTTTTGGTTAGGTTTGAACAAGAGATTGTTTTGCTTATTGGACTTGACTTTGTTCTCCTAGGTCAACAGTTTCATGGAAAGTATATTTCAGATTGCTGATAGAAGTGTACTTAGAATCCGTTGGTTGCCAACAGCAGTTCAGTTCCAACCAAGTGTCGGTTTTTTGTGCTGGGCCTTGCGTTTAGAGGCCTCCTTAATGAAGTGACTGTTGTGAGATTTGCTAGTGTTTGTGGTATCATTAGTTTTAGAAGAAAAGTTTCTGAAGCTTCCGGTAGTAACAATAATAATCTTATAGTCTGATGTTATTTTGTCTCAAAGAGATGTGGTTGTTGTGTCCTCTATATTGTGTCATTTTGTCCTCTATTTCAGTTACCCAGAGAGATGGTCCTTCAGAGCCTACACGTCTATTCTGTATTTTAACCCATGGATGAGAATATTCATTCAAGCCAAGAGAGTTAAGACTAAACATCTAGGCTATTGCCTATACAGACCCAGGTAACTCCTCTTTCTTCAGTTATCTTCACAGAGTTATTTATAAAATTGATAGGCTCCCTAAAGTTGTCAACGTGAGGACATTGACTTGATAGTAAGATTTTTACATTGTAAACAAAATTTAAACCGCATTTGGGAAGACTTGCTAAAGAGTAATTGGATGTGAACAAATATTTGGCAGTGATAGAAACGCACGGCAGTGAGCATGCTAAGTTAATCACCCCAAGCAGAAATTTGCTTTTTACTTCAGTGAATTGTAGGTGCTTTGACAGCAATTAGCTCCACTGAATGATCACAGTTTATGTATATCTTCTGTTTACCCAATGCATTTGAACTATTAAACCATATAGACATGTTTATATTATACATATAGAATGAATATATTTATAAATACATATCTGGTTGATTTGTATTTTATGTTTTTTTTTTACTTTAGCATAGATGTTTTCAAGTTTTTTTTGTATGTTTGTTATTGCTGTTTTGAGACAGAGTCTCACTCTTGTCACCCAGGCTGGAGTGCAGTGGCGCAATCTTGGTTCACTGCAACCTCTGCCTCCTGGGTTCATACGATTCTCCTGTCTCAGCCTCCCAAGTAGCTGGGATTACAGGCGTGCATCACCACGCCTGGCTAATTTTTGTATTTTTAGTAGAGACGAGGTTTCACCATGTTGGCCAGGCTGGTCTTGAACTCCTGACTTCAGGTGATCCACCTGCCTTGGCCTCTCAAAGTATTGGAATTGCAGGTGTGAGCCATTGCGCCTGGCCAGCCACCAGGCCTGGGCTTTAAGATTATATTTATGTATTATAAAGTCCATTTTTTCCAATCATGCATGCCATCAGAATGGTAATTTTCTTGGTGTGGTTTCTGGGTAGTCATTCATTTACACACCAAACATTTATCAGATTTTTCTGTGAGTCTGAGATTAGAGGAAAAGAAGTTATTATTCACAAAAGATACTTGCACGTGCATGTTTATAGCAACACAATTCACAGTTGCAAAATTATGGAAGGAACCCAAATGCCCATCAATCAACAAATGAATAAGGAAACTATGGGGTGTGTGTGTGTGTGTATGATGGAATACTACTAAGCAATAAAAAGGAATGAATTAACAGCACTTGCAATGACCTGGATGAGATTGGAGACTATTATTCTAAGTGAAATAATTCAGGAATGGAAAACCAAACATTGTATGTTCTCACTGATATGTGGGAGCTAAGCTATGAGGACACAAAGGCATAAGAATGATACAATGGACTCTGGGGAAGAGTGGGAGGGGCTGAGGGATAAAAGACAACCTGTGTGGTGTAGTATATACTGCTTGAGTGATGGGTGCACCAGGATCTCACAAATCACCCCTGAAGAACTTACTCATGTACCCAAACACCACCTGTACCCCAATTACTTATGGACAAATAGAAAAAAGAGAGATTAATTCTTGATTTGAGGACATTGATATCTATTGGGAGAAACATTTAATTTGTGCACGTTGCCTATGTATATGCCTTTTTGCCTGAACTGTTTCATTTGATTTCTGCAGTAACACTGTGGGTTAGGTTATCATCACTGTTTTAGAGACAAGGAAATGTCAAAACTAGAAAAGAACTCAGATTTTCTGGCTCTAAATTCTTTTTCAAGCCAAATTCAATGCTTCCTCTCCTAAAGCTATTAACTCTTTATGTCTACATTTGTCATCTTGTCTTACTTTCATGAAAATTCAGTTGCTGTCTTTGAGAGGGGCCTTGCAATCACTCATATAGACATTAATACTAAAAAATGTAGATCTCTGTATCAGACTCCCTGAACACACACTAATGGATTTCGCAAAAGTTTACTTTTGATTTCCACTTATGCTGCCCATCATCTTTTGAAAATAAAATATACCAATCCTGAGACTTTCCGAATAAATCAGTCCATTCATTTCCTGCTAAATATCAAAGCACTGTTTCCTTTTCATCAGCCTCATTCTTCCAGCAAGTACCAAGTGTCTCCTGTATCAATCAATATAGCTAATCTTTTCAAATTAAATTTCTCTTAGTGAGTTCAGGTGAAAAATGGTTCAAGCCCATGGAAAATGTAGATATGTCTCTATTTTCTGAGGGAATTTTAGTAATTGAATGTAATCTACCTAAATTACTTATATCAAGTGATGGCTGCTTCCCATTCGAGTCTATTGTTTATTTACTTTTCAAAGTGATATTCTTAGATATATATTACCAGGAAGTAGTACGTGTAGAGTGAGTATGAGGAGTATGAGTGTGTGTGTGTGTGTGTGTGTGTGTGTGTGTGTGTATTTCCTGAAGAGAAATTTAGGGAGGCTTGAACCTTTGCCAGGTTTCATTCGGAGCTCTAATTGGCATCCACAGTGTAGAAGGATTTATTCCTTTATGGTGTTATACCTTAGGGCTTTGTCATACTTACTTACATATCATTTCTCTCACAGGTTCTCTGGTGACAAAAGCCCTTCATAAAGGATTTGTGGAGTTTCCTCCATGTTATCCCACCCCTCGTAGGGTAACTCCTACTTCTTTTTTCTTCCGTAAAAGGCAGTGTAGCTCTAATGGCTGTATTAGAGCAGATGAAGGACTAGAATTGTGACCAAAGTACAGGACTTAATACCCTTTTTAAAGGGTACTACCCATGATTAGATACTCTGTGTACTTGGCCACCCGGCTACCATAAACTGGAAAGGAAGGTGCCTCACCAGCACCTTTGCCTCACTGTTTTCATGACTGTGATGTTCTGGAGAACTGAAGAATAGCCAGTGTTGCTCGGGATACACCTAGTTTCTACCCAGGTGTACATCCTCACTGGGTGTACCTACTATCTGCGCCTCTAAGGGTGGGTTTTTAAAGCTACTCAATTGGACAGACTTCTGGTACAAGCCACTTCAGAGGGGTTTGCCCTCTCACACGTCTTCCTGTGGTGTAGACCAGTCCCTGGTCCAGTTAGTGGATTTGACATCCCGAGTACTAAATCTACAGGGTCCACAACAGGAAGTTTACTTTTTCTAGACAGACATTAGCAAGAAGTGTAGCAACGCAGAGAGGGCATGAGTGTGGCATGTGATTAATGGAGTTGTTCATGCTCTCCAGCAACTGAAGGGACTCCCACCCAAGATGAGTACAAATTTGTCTCTGGAGGGTCTCAATTATAGAAGAAATTATTACTTTGGGAAAGATTGCAAGGTGATTTCTCAGTTCTCTTTCAACTTAAACATTGTATAAGTCTGTAGTTCTTAGAGTCTTAAATATTGTTTTTATAATAAAGACAAGTTATTATATGGCTGTGTTACTTGATCTTTGGCAACAAACATTCTTCATTAAATTGCTTACCTATAGACCCATAATACTGAAAGGAGCCCAAATGAGTTGGGATTGGTATTACCCTGCACTCGTGGGAACCACATGATCCTTTTAAAATTATTCAGGGATTTGATTTTTAAGGGATACTTTCCATACCCTAACACCCCACCCACCACCAGACTAGTAATTTTTGAACAGTGATTCTTTTGCACACCATGCATGTTATGTGTCCATTTTTGAATTTTTGCAATGCTGAATTATTTAATCTTTTATTATAGTATGATAATTGGAAGCACAATTTGGATTAGCCAAACTTGGATTTGAGTTTAGGTTTTATCATTTACTAGTTGTGGACCTTTGTCTGTTACTTGAGTCTTACGCTTCTCCAGTGTGAATTGGAAATTCCTCTGCCACTGAGGTTATTATGAGGACTAGACTAAAACTGTGTTTTACCTTAAACATAAAAGCAGTCAGCAAGGGTTCTGAAATGTTTGTAAACCAATAGTAGTTGTTATCATACAAATGAGTAAGAGCAAGTGGATGGAATGACCACTATATGTAAGGCTCTCTTGTAGGCATTGGGCATAAGCAAAAAGAAAAAAATTCCTGCCCTCATGGAGCTTACATTCTAGTGGGGATCAGAGAATACAACATATAAATTAAAATGGATGATAAAATATCAGATGATTTTTTTTTGGTTATTTCAACTTTTATCTTAGAATCAGGAGGTACATGTGCAGGTTCATTACATGGGTATATTGCATGATGCTGAGGTTTGGGGTACGGATCCTGTCACCCAGCTAGTGAGCATAGTACCCAATAGGTATGATTTCTACCCATGTCCCCATCCCTGCCTCCCTCCTCCCCCATCTTGTATTCCTCGGTGTCTGTTGTTCCCATGTTTATGTCCATGTGTGCTCAGTGTTTAGCTCCTACTTATAAATGAGAATATGAGATATTTGTTTTTCTGTTCCTGTATTAATTCAGTTAAGATTATGGTCTCCACTGTGTCTATGTCACTGCAAAGGACATGATTTTATTATTTTTTATGGCTGTATAGGATTCCATAGTGTATATGCACCACAATTTAAAAAATCCAATCCTCCACTGAAGGACACCTAGATTAATTCCATGTCTTCGTGATTGTGAATAATGTGGCAATATACAATAAATGTGGCAACTCTGGGGCAAGTTGGTCTCTCTTTACAAAGGCCACTGCATAGGTCCACTTGAGTACTTTCATGACATAATGGCTGGTGTCTATCAGAGTTAGCAATTCAAGAGAGCAAAGTAGAACTTGCAACCTTTTAGAACCCATCTTCAAAAGTGACAAACCATCACTTTTGCAGTGCCACAGGCCAGCCTAGATTTAGTGTGGGAGGACACCATACATAGGCATTAATACCAGGAGAAAATAAAAACCACTAGGAGACATCTGGGATGGTGGGTAGCACAGTGAGTTATGCAATAATTTTGTGAGAAGATGGTTCCAGAAGGAGGGGACAGTGCAAAGACAGGAATCAAAAGCTAGTCTAGCTAGAACACAGAAAACAGATCAAGGTAGATAGGGCAGACCAGATGGGGCCTGAAACAACAAGACAAGAAGAGGTGGCTGTTTTGAGAATGGAATTACTTGAGCAGAGGAGTGTACTTGACCTATGTTTTTCAAAGATTATTCTGGCTGTTGAGTAGAGAATTGATTTCATGAGACAAGAAGAAAGGAGGGAAGTTGAGGTAGGATAGATAGCATTACTTTATTCTAGGGGAGAAATGAGCTTGAGCTCAGGTGGTAATGGCGAAAGGGATGAAAAGTGTCTGGATTACATGTATGTTGTGAAGATAGAGCCAGTAAGACTGCCAATGGATTGGATATGGGGTGGAGACAAAATGAGGAGTCTAGAAGGCTTTCTAAGTTTTTTCCCGAACAAAATCTTGGGAATGATAGGGGAGGTACAAGTGTAGAGGTTAGGAGGAGTGGTGGATGGAGTTCTCTTCATATCACAGTGGACAGACTAAATTTGAGAGGTCTACTTAACATCCACATCTCTACCTATCAATATTATGCTAACCAGAAAATTCTCAATCCTGCCTAATTACATGTTGTAAAGAATAATTAAGGATTAGAATTATTTTACAATATCACCAAACCAGGTAAACTCTTATAACTTTAAAGACATAATTATGATTGAGTACTACAATATAGTTATAACTTACAACTGTGGGCTAATTTTTCGGTGTTAATAAAAGTTCAGAACTGTAGTTTTCTTTATTTATGGCCTGTTTTTTTCAAACTTAAACTTTAGAATACTATATTTGATATTGGCCAAAGTATTTTGAACAAATGTTTTAAGTGTGAAAATTAAAGTCAATAAAAGTTTAAATTTCTGCCAGTTGTTCTGATCAAACCATTCAGGTAAAATGCTGTATTAAGTTATGCTCTATACTTCTGCAGCACGAAGCCTTGAAAGGCACTGAGTTTTCTTGATATTTTTATTTCTCTTTATAGAGAAGCATTCTATTTTCCTCATAAAACTTGTAAAATTAACAAAAATGTATACAATACAGAATTAGATATGGGGGAAAAGTCAAATAACTAAAAGTCCCTTTTACCATTTGTCATTAATTCTATGCTATGGCAATCTGTAATGTTCCCCAAAGGAGAACCTCTGTTAGAAGTTTAATATCTTTCCAGATTGTTGTTTTCTACACAGTTTTACACACACACACACACACACACACATATATGCACACACATGCATGCACACATAGCTTTTTATAAACAAAATTATGTACAACTTGTTATTTTCACTTACAGTTATATCTTGGAGACTTTTGTCAGTGTTAAATATATTGCATAGCACTATGATTTATTTAACTGTTTTCTTATTGATGTACATTTAGAGTTTAGAGAGCTTTGAGTATTCTCACACCAAATATTATTCTAGAATTTTTCTCTCTATGATGATTTAAACCAATGCTTAGAAGCCCAGTTCCAAGAATTTTCTGCAACAGAAGCACATAGTTTCAACTGTATTCGGAGAACCTCAGGTTCTGTAGGGCTTTTCTCACCTATGCTTTGTTCTCTCTGAGTTGGTGGATATATACGTATATACAGTTTTCCTTTATGTTCTAGAGCATCTTTGCCATTACTAAAACAATGGACCTTGAAAACAGGTTTCTCAATCAATAAGGTAGAAAATGTGCTTTTGGCAATTTAAAATGATACACGAATGTGTGTTTCTGAGCATTGCAGTTAGAGATAATTGTTTTGGGACCAGGAGAAGTAGTTGACCCAGTGTCAATGATAATCTGAGTAGGAAGGCTATGCATATTAACCAGAAACTTTGATAAGGGAACAATTTCATAAATTTTTTTAAAGAAAATTATCCTAGTTTATATGTCCAAGTGAACATTTGTGTGGGCAGATTTTCCTGTTGCTCTCATGAAGTTTCCTTACTAAAGCAACATTTCTAAGTAGTAAAAGGCAAGAAATTTCGCTGAGGTATAGGTTTGCTAATTTACCAGCTGAATGTACTCGATGAATCTTTCTTAATAATTATGTATCTCTGGAGCATACAGTCTTCCTAAAGAATATTGTCTTATGTACTTTAAAACGATAATCTGACTTGATTATGTTCTTTCTTCTTTCTTTCCAGAAAGTATCTTTATGTCACATCTTCTTTCAAAGGAGCATTTAAAAATGAAGTTCAAAAGGCAGAAGAAGCAGTAAAGACTGGTATGCAATTACCTGCAGCCTACATCATTGTTGTTCAGTCATTCAGCAAATGTTAATTGTGCGCTTATTCTGAGACATACGTTGCTCTAGGCATTGTAGGAGCTACTGCAATTAATTAAATGGAGTTTCTGTCTCTATGGAACTTCATAACACATTCTTTCCATCTCTGACCTTGTTTACTCATGATATTATTTATGATTTTAAATATGATCCTGAACACATTTCAAACTAGATTGCTATTTGTTAGAAACCTTGTTTGTCTGTCTGGGCATAGTGGCTCACATCTATTAATGCCAGTACTTAGGAAGGCCGAGGTGGGAGAATCACTTGAGGCCAGGAGTTCGAGATTAGCTTGGGCAACATGGTAAGACCATGTCTGTATTTAAAAATAAAGTAAAATGAAGTAAGAAATCCTGTGTGTCATAACACCGTGTTAGGTCATTTTAGATCCCTGCACTGCATTCGCTTTAAAAAGGATTTGCTACATATTGACTCCTCCTACTGCGGGAACAAAGCTACTCTTACCCAGTTATCTGGGGGTGAGTAGTAGCTCTACATCCATAGTTTGTGGATTTTAAAGCATTTCCTGTCAGCTAAAAATCCATTTATGACATTTGAATTTGTGTATGTATATTTGCGTCCTGCATATCATCATGCTAAATGAAAGCCCAGTAGAAAAAAGATTTAAAATTTGTAAAAGTTATAAGAGGAACGTAGAGTTTTCTGAGATCATGGTCTGTATGCCATTTTCACTGGTCATACTATATGCATGGAAAATACTTAGAATTGCTTGAAATAATTTTGCTGTATTATAACTATCCGGCTTCCACTTCCAGCTGAATTTGTATTGAAAGAAGCACAAATGAAAGTAAACCAGTGTGACAGAACCTCTTTGTCTTCTGCCAAGGTATGACATGTAAAGAGAATAGTCTTATTAAAAGACAAATTGTGTCATTTGCTTTTTCCTCTGCATAGTTGTCTCTTACCATCTACTTCCTAAACTTTTTTTTTTTTAATTTTTTATTGGATTTTAGGTTTTGGGGTACATGAGCAGAGCGTGCAAGACCGTTGCGTAGGTACGCACATGGCAGTGTGCTTTGCTTTGCTTCTCCCCTTCACCCCTTCTCCCCTTCACCCACATTTGGCATTTCTCCCCAGGCTATCCCTCCCCACCTCCCCCTCCCACTGGCCCTCCCCTTTTCCCCACAATAGACCCCAGTGTTTAGTACTCCCCTGTCTTTGTCCATGTGTTCTCATTTTTCATCACCCGCCTATGAGTAAGAATATGCGGTGTTTCATTTTCTGTTCTTGTGTCAGTTTGCTGAGGATCATGTTCTCCAGATTCATCCATGTCCCTACAAACGACACAAACTCATCATTTCTGATTGCTGCATAATATTCCATGGTGTATATGTGCCACATTTTTCCAATCCAGTCTATTATCAATGGGCATTTGGGTTGATTCCAGGTCTTTGCTATTGTAAACAGTGCTGCAATGAACATTCGTGTACATGTGTCCTTATAGTAGAACGATTTATAGTCTTTTGGATATATACCTAGTAATGGGATTGCTGGGTCAAATGGAATTTCTATTTCTAAGGCCTGATATTCTTTCTTCTGCTTGGTCAATTCGGCTATTGAAACTTGTGCATGCTTCGCGAAGTTCTCGTATTGTGTTTTTCAGCTCCTTTAATTCATTCATATTCCTCTCTGAGTTATCCATTCTTGTTATCATTTCCTCATATCTTTTTTCAAGTTCCTTAGTTTCTTTGCGTTGATTTAATACATGTTCTTTTAGCTCACAAAAGTTTCTCACTATCCACCTTCTGAAGTCTAATTCCGTCATTTCGTCACAGTCATTCTCCATCCAGCTTTGTTCCCTTGCTGGTGTGGAGTTTTGGTCCTTTCTAGGAGGCAAGGTGTTCTGGTTTTGGGTGTTTTCCTCCTTTTTGCGCTGGTTTCTTCCCATCTTTGTGGGTTTATCCGCTTGTCGTCTGCGTAGTTGCTGACTTTTCGATTGGGTCTCTGAGTGGACACCCAGATTGTTGATGATGAAGTATTTCTGTTACTTGGTTTTCCTTCTACCAGTCTAGCCCCTTCGCTGTACGACTGCTGAGGTCCACTCCAGGCCCTGCTTGTCTGGGGTACACCTCTAGCAGCTGTGGCACAGCGAGGGATGCTACCAGTTTCTTTTTCTGCTATCTTTGTCCCAGGATGATGCCTGCCAAATGTCAGTCTTTTGGATATAGAGGGGTCAGGGAGCTGCTTGAGGATACAGTCTGTACTTTATAGTAGCTCAATTGCTGAGCTGTGATCTCTGTTGTTCATTCAGGGCTGTTAGGCTGCTATGTTTGATTCTGCTGCAACAGAGCTCATTAAAAAAACCCTTTTTTTCTCAAATGCTCTGTGTTGGGGGGTTCGGGCTTTATTTTTGGATGTTCGTTGAGGTGTCCTGCCCAGCTAGGAGGCAGACTAGCCACTGTTTACCTGCCGAGGCTCCGCCCTGCTGTTGTGAGGCTCGCCCTGTTGGGGCAGGTTCTGCTGTTCTGCTGTGGTCTCCGCCACGCCCTGAGGCGGAGTCTCTCTGTTGTAGCGGGTTGCCTCGGCAACGGCAGGCTGCCATAGCAGTGGGCATGTATCTCAGTTGGGGCGGGTTGCCTCGGTAATGGTGGACGCCCCTACCCCACAGAGCGTCTCAGACCAACTGCACGGGGATCGCTTGAAATCACGGTCTTGTTCGTCCCACTGGGCTAGCCCAAATGCTCTGTCCCTGCAATCCCCTGGGCGGGCCCACTGTCCAAGTCTCGCTCAGTCTCAAGTCCAGCCCTCTCAAGTCTCAGGTTGCCGGCTCAACAGGGCACCCAGACAAGCGCGCCCTGTGGGGAGCAATGGGCAGGGCCGGCCGCCACCACCCCGGCTGCCGGCTTCGCCAGGCAGAGGCACTGCCAGTCGTCCAGCGTCTCCCCTATACTTGGGAATCTCCCCGTTCCGTGGGCAACAAAGATCAGTCTGGAAATGCAGCTCCGACTCACCTCTCTGCGGACTCAAAGAGAGCTCCAATCCTGGGTTGTTCTCACAGCACCATCTTGAGTCCTCCCCTTCCTAAACTTTTAAGCACAGATAAGTTCAGAAGATTAAGTTGATTTTAACTCAGGTAAACAGAATAGAGGAGTGCAGAGAAAGGAGAGGAAACTCAGCAAGTGGAGGCATGGCTGAGGTGGAGAGAAAAGATGAACAGAATATGGGCTGAATTTGAAACAGTGGGAAAGAGCATCACAACCAATTTCTTTAAAATGGGAAGGAAAGTAACAGGAGAAAGGGAAAAAATAATGAAAAACCAGCAGAAAAAAGAACTAGCCTATCAAGTCTCCTTGAAAATATCTATTCAAATTATAGCTCCCTGTGGACCCAAATAAATGGGAAAAGCAAGGAAATGTCTAATAACCAATCCTTCTTTTTAATGCTTGGAATTATATACTGTAATTATGAATATTCATAACAAAGCTTCCAGCTTACAAAGCTCTTTTATTGTGAGTTGCTCCACACAGCTCATAAACATTCTTTGTAATCCTTACAATATGCCCATGAGTGAGATAAGTTATGAAGAACTATTATTATTATAATGCATGGCAACCAAGAGAAAAAATAATTGCTCTAAGACATGTAAGTTTGCTAACTTTCACCAAAAATATGTTATGAAGCGTTAAACAATGGTGAATCATTAAGCAACATATTTATTTGCTTACATACAAAGGGACAAGTAGGAACATGGCGGCAAATGCTTTACTTCACCTTCTCTTCATCCTCTTCTATAGACTGAATATATTCATCCTTTCAGTGATTTGCCATTTAACTTCCCAGGACCAAGGCTGTGTCTGATAAAGACCTTTCCTCTACAAGGTCCTGAGTAAGACTGACATCAAAGAGTAGCCCGTGGTAATGCCCCAGAGCTAATTCCGTCCATGGCCTGTCCCAAATTCTCCTAGTTTTTTCTTTTCTTTTTTTTAAAGGTAAAGGTAAACCTATCTTATTTTTATTGATTATTAATTTTTTAATAGTTTAAGCTTTTTAAAATTTTGTTTCTCAGAAATCATTTTCCTTTGCTTCATGTGTTTGAGAGACAAGAAAGAGAAAGACTCATGGGTCAAGTCCTTCTTCCTTTTGTGCCTTCTGCTGTTACTTCTCCCTGCCTCTGCTCTGTGCTCTGAGGGCACTGCCAGGCAGGGTGGGGAAGTCTTTGACAAATTTTCTTTGTTCTTCTGATGCTCTCTGGTTTCTTTAAGGCAGAGAAGAGAGCAAAGCAGAATGACCTAAACTTTTAACCTCTTAAATTCTTCAGGGCAGATGAATTTTAAATGGAATACTTGCCAACCATTTCCATTTCCTTTCACTTGGAAGGCAGTGAAAATAGTGTTCCGTCAGTGTTATACTATACCTCAAAACAGATGCCCACCTTTCACCTCAGGTGGATGAAGCATGTTAAGAGGCTGTTCTTCTGCCTAAGAACAATAATGAATTCTGCTGCTGCTGCTTGATTAGAGGGAGGATACTAGATTTAGAGTAGTGAATGAGTTGATATATCAAATTAAAAGAGTTAATAAGAAAGACAACTGGGCATGGGGTATCTTATAAAGGGAAAGTTTGAGAAATATTAGAGGGATCCAGAATTCAATATGAAGGAGATACTTTCTGTTGGCTGCTAACAACATTTCTCAATTACTGTTATTTTTTGTTTCCTGCAAGAACATTCAGTGGTCACATCATCGAGCATTTATTGTTCTCACAGACAAGTCAGAGCCTGGTCTATGCAAAATAACTCACCCAAGTTTTCTTGTAGTTTTTGTCAAAGTCTTTGTGCCATTATAGAGAATAAAATTTCTTTCTCTAAAAGGAAGAGAGGATATCTGAATATGAACAAAAGAGAATAGTGGGCTAGGATTTGGATTAGGTTTATCTTTTATGGTATTGGAACTGAATGATTTATCAAGTGTTGAGAATCTACTATGGTAGAATCGCATTAGGTAGTGTGAGCTATCATTAGCCTTGAACATTCGGATAACAGGATAGTATCAACTTGCTCCTGGTTAATTCAGTGCCATTATGTTCTCTCCCAACCAATGTACTTCTCCAGGATGTGTTACAGAGAGCTTTGGAAGATGCAAAAGCGAAACAAAAGAATCTTAAAGAGAAACAAAGGTAAGACATAAGGTTTTCTGCTTGCAGGGATCCTCTGTACTATGTTAAAACAAATTCTAGTTTCTAAGTAGGTAGATTTAGTGTTTACCGTGACAGTTTTTTTTTTTTTCAGTTTGTGACGTCTTATAATCTAAAACCTAATACAGTCAAGGTCTCCCAACCAAGATAAGCAATATAAAACATTGATAAAACATATGTTTGCATGTATACATATGTGTCTACATAATAAAAATTCTGAAAAAAAAAAGAAAAATTAGTTCAGCATTGAATTGTTTGGGCTAGATGAAGATGCCTTCATGAGGAAGTGATCAGCTGATAACTCACTTTCCCTCTGTGTCATTTGCCATTTAAATTCTAGAGAGTTGGTTCTGGTTTCTTCCCCTTGTCTAGTACCTTAAAATTTTACAAAAGGAAATAATGTTTCACATGAATGTATTGCTTATATAGCATTAAAATTAAAATAGCAAGGATATGTTAACAAAATGAAATATTTACATTTGTAAGATGAACTTGCTCTCCAACTCAAACGCTAACCAAGTTAAACTGAAAATAATCACTGCTGCCCACATAACATCAGACTTCAAAAGTCGTTATATCTTTGTGAAACTATTCTTAAGGGAAGTATGATTTGTTTTTAACATTATTTTTCGTGAACCATGCACTGACATTCAACCATAACTTTCCTCAAAACTTAAATTTTAAATGTTAATTTTGCATTTATCAAAATAAATAAATTTGAAATGTTACTTCTACATTTACCAGAAGAAATTTAAATAAATGTCATAGAAATTTTAATTGAAAAATGAAGCTCTCTCTGAGGTCTTTAGAAATAAAAACCTTGTTGAACCAAGTTCACTGTGTGAAACAGTTCATCCAGTGTAATGTATGAAAAGTGACCAACCAACATTTTATTAATAATAATGCCAGTTACCATGAACTTGTTTTAACAGCAAATGCTGCTTTTATTTTTTTTAATTCAAGAATAGCTGGGCTAGGTGGCTCATGCCTGTTATCCCAGCACTTTGGGAGGCCGAGGCGGGCAGATCATGAGGTCAGGAGATTGAGACCATCCTGGCCAACACAGTGAAACCATATCTCTACTAAAATACAAAAAAAATTTAGCCAGGCATGGTGGCACACGCCTGTAGTCCCAGCTACTCAGGAGCCCGAGGCAGGGGAATCGCTTGAACCTGGGTGGTGGAGGCTGCAGTGAGCTGAGATTGCACCACTGCACTCCAGCCTGGTGACACAGCAAGATTCTGCCTCAAAAAAAAAACAAAAACAAAACTGGAGAATATCAATGTATCATTTAATATTATAGAGTGATTATGTCATATCATATCCTGTAATACCTTGTTTACATACTCCTTATACTCTTTTTTGAAGAGTTGGGATCTCATTACTGAGTAGTGATTTTTGAGAAAAAGTTTGATTTACATATGTTTAACCTTAGGTACACATGCATTTAATAAATATATATTAACTCATGTCTTATGTTCTCTATATATCATATCTTTATGGAAGGACTGATAGAACTTTATCATTATTCTTTAATGATAGATGCATTTAATTAGTTACTGGTAAGTATATTATATCAATTGTAATAGCACGTGGTCATGAGCTTGAAAACAAAAGGCCAAGTTTATGGCGGGAGGGGAGCTACAGGGTGAGTGCAGGAGAATTATATTTGGTGTCATTCTTGGTTGGTAAAGAAAATAATAATGGTTATATACCTAACCTGTTTCAGGCTTATATTTAACATTTTTTTTTTTAGTTCTTATGACATCACAAGGGGCTACATAGGTATTACTCCCATTTTTCAAATGAGACAGAACGTTTAAGAGGCACATCCATGGTCACATGGTTATTACAAAGACAGGCTTGTATTTGAAAACAGTTCTGCCTCTCATATCCACGCATTTTCATAGCTCCCAGCAGCCTCTGATACCATATGTGTTTATATCACAACTCATTACCGTAGCTGTTTTTATCACATTTCGGTATTTCTCAATTTCTATTTTATACTTATAATAGAAAACTCACACAAAACATAATATAGAAGGTCAGTCAGAAAAACAGGAGCTCAATCTGTTGCCTTTGTAAACTTGCTTTACTATAATAACTTTTATTTACCTTGTATTTTGGAGGAGGTTAGATGGAAAGCTAGGGAATATCTTTTGGCACATTCCAATCTATGTAGGATATCTGGAGACTCGAGAACATGCTGAAATTAGGAATCACAACTGCTGTTAGAAATCCCTAAATTTAAAATAGCCAAGTCATCACTTTTAAAAAAAAAATGCTGCAATGTACCTATAAGACCAGTTAATATTTCAGAACCCTTTTGGCATTTTCTAGTTCTTGTAAATTTAAATTTGCAGACTTGTTTTTGAATCAGCAAATGCCTTTGTTTGACTGACATAGTTACTGGCGTCATGTTTATGCAGAATACTTGGCTATACCAAGATAACTGAGTGTGCCCACCACGTTTGGCAAAGTATCTGGATTATGCCTGTGACGTTAACCTTTTAGTTCAATTATTAGCCGTTTCATAAACTATATATGTTTATTTAATGAACAACTTTTTAAACTTTCTATATGTTACTCTAGAGAATTAAAGAAGGCAAGAACACTCTCCCTGTTCTATGGCGTGAACATAGAAAACCGAAGCCAAGATGGAATGTTCATTTATAGTAACAACCGTTTGATCAAAATGCACGAGAAAGTGGGTCCGCAGTTGAAGCTGAAGTCCCTGTAAGTCTGTTTCTGCTTTCACAGCTACGAGCAGAGAAAGGGAGGTTGCAGGAAGATTCTGTCTGTGGAGTGAGAGGAGTGACTAATCACGATGGGAGCAAGTGTCACAGTCTCTGTTCACCCCTCCTGTCGATGTGCAGGCATTTGTGTGCCTCATTTATAATATCAGTGAGGCTGCCTGCACGCTCTATGGAAAAATCACACTGTGGGAATTTTTTTTCCAATGTATTTATTGAACAACTTGATGTGGGGCCATTCTTTGTGCCACGTCTTTGGGTTACATTTTTGATGCTTTACCAATTTAAAAGTAATACAAGCATATTAAATAAATTTTAGAAGAGAAAGAAAAGAAAAATCCTTAGTGTTGTAAAGCACCCCTATTAACGTTTGTGAAGCCCCAGCATCCATGAGTTCTTGCCAGTTTCCTGCCTGGTCATGTCACTAAAACTCTCTAGCCTATCTGGACTTTAGAGTAATACATTCTCATGCTTTCCCAATGGTCTGAAATTTCTCAAGCTGCTTTCATCAGTGATGTAGAGTCCTGAAGAGACACACAGACAAGGACAGGGTCAGACAAGGTAATCATGACCAGTATAACGGGTCAGGGGAGCATTTACTGTGTTGCTGCCGCACTCTCAAGGAATTGGTAATTCGTTCATTGTTTATTTAACAAGCACCTATAGTGCTGCAGTGTATGCCAGGCACTATACTAAGCTCTGCTGATGAAAGCTCCAGACCTACTGCCTTTTGCTAAGGAATGTATTGTATGGTGAAAGGGACAAGCATATAAATGCATTTTTTTATATTGCTTGAAAATAGCAAGAATGGTCTTTTAAAATCTAGATTTGTTGGCTTAAATCCCGGTGCATTTAGAGTAGAACTGTTCGCCATGGTCTTCCAGTGATCTGATCTCTGATTGGCTGTGGGATCTCACCCTCTACTTATACCCTGCCCTCTCTGCATTGCCTGCGTCTCACATCTCCTAAGCTAATTCCTGTATTAAGACCTTGGGACATGCTATTTCCTCAGCCTTGAACCTTCTGTCCTCAGATTTTCTTACTATTGGCCTTAACATGCCATTCAGCCATGAGCCTGAAGTAATCTCCACAGGAAGGTCTTCCTTGACCGTCTAATTAAAACGGGCCGCTTCCCTTATCCCCCCCACCTGTCACTCTTCACGTATCCCAGCACCTGCGTTATGTTCCGCATACCACTTTTCACCATCTGAAATGGTCTCGTATATTTTTATTATGTAGAAGAGAAACTTCGAAGTCAGGATGAACCTGTATTTCTGGTTCTCACTGTATCCCTAGCTCTTGGAACAGGGCCAGGTTCTGAGCGTGAATGAATGAATATTATGTTAGAGGTGAGCATCAGCGCAAAAAGAGCATTTAGGAGGGGCGGCAAAGCAAACCGGGGAAGCCAATTCAGGCCTCCTAGAAGAATGATGCCCAAATTTAGACTTACAGAATGAGTAGTGAAAGGAAAGCAGGGTGGAAGAGGGAAGTGGTAACAAAGCATGATAAGCTGGGACCTCAAAGGGTGAGGCTTGACACGTGTGTCATGCAGAAGGCGGTGGGGAGCCCTAAAGGCTTAGACAACTGTATGCTGTTTCCGAAAGCAGGTTATGTCACCAAGCAGATTTACAGTGAGACACTCATTACCCTCTGGGACAAGCCAACTCTATGATTCCTTAGTACCATTCGCTGGCACCTCACGGCCCCCTGCAATGAGGAGGAGAAATCCAATCTGATAGGTGAAATGCAGACAAAGAAAGTGGTTCTCTGGCCACTGTCATTTAAAAGATTATGCTAGTTTATTGCAGTAAAGCACCATGGTTTTCAACGTCAAAAGGAATTGCTTCCCACCCACCCTCACACTCCATGTAAGGTGATAGGTTTGTAAAAAGTCATATTAACTCAGTAACACTGTGCTAGAGTGACTTTTTATTATGGGACTAAACACACTGGGGTCACCACAGACTTACGATAACATAGTTAGATAACTTGTTAAACTCTGACATGGTCCGGACCCATGGAATGAATTTACTTTTGAAAAAAAAAAAAAGTTTTCAAATGACCAGAATATATTCGATTTGTTTTTCTTTAGCCAGAATTACAAAATGTGAATATGCATCTGTTTCCTCAGACTTGGCACAGGCGTGGTTGGAATTGTTAATATACCCTTGGCGATCATGGAACCGTCCCACAATAAACAGGAATTTCTCAATGTCCAAGAGTATAATCATCTATTAAAAGTCATGGGGCAGTACGTGGTCCAGTACTGTAAGGACACCGGCATCAGTGAGTATTCTGTCAGTAGTCATAGTAGAAGATACTTAGCGAGGGATTAATTTCTGTGATTTCTTTAAGCCGATGTGATTACCTGAATTCAGATTACCAGCAACTGAAAGCTCTGAGAGTGAGCTCCTACTTTAAAACGTCAGAGGAGTGAGAAGGGAGCCCATTTCAGAATCTTTCCCAGACTGTCGTGTGAAAAACAAAGCAGCAGATTAGAAATTGCAAGGGGAGGGCAGTCAGCAGAGTGCAGTAGCAGACCGTGGGGGAAGGAAGCAGAGATTATTGCTTCAGACAGACTGGGAAACCCTGCTCTGGGCACTGGGACTTCACTGTGTTGAGAGCACATAGTCTCACACAGACCTTAGTAGCTCTTACAACGTTGTTATGTCATACCATGGAGTAAAAACTACCGATCTTGGGTAATTGTAGATATGTTAAACTTTGTTTTGTATAGTTAAAAGTTATTGTGTATGTTAATTCCAGAAAGATTTCAATTAAAAATGTCTCAAATGGCTATGTCTGGAAACTTAAAAAGATGAACTTCAGCTATCTGGAAGATGTGATCCATTTAGGTCACCTTACTCCCCAGAGACACCTGAACAATGAGAGGGTGCACCAAGCATTAATTCAACTTCTTCTTTTTGGTTGTTTTTCAACTTGTGTTTTAGAATCAAGGTGTACATCCACAAGATGCTTACAGAGGCATATTGTGTGATGCTGAGGTTTGGGAGAGAACCAATCTTGTCGCGCTGGTATTGAGCAGAGTATCAACAGGTAGTTTTTCAGCCCTGTTCCCCTTCCTCTCCCTTTTTGTATTCCTCAGTGTCTGTTGTTTCCATCTTTATGTCCATGCTTACCCCATGTTTAGCTTCCATGTGTAAGTAAGAACATGTGGCATTTGGTTTTCTTTTTCTGCATAAGTTCACTCAGGACAATGGCCTTTAGCTGCATCCATGTTGCTGCAAGGACACAATTTCATTCTTTTTTATGGCTGTGTAGTATTCCACAGTATACGTGTGCCACATTTTTTTTTTATCCAGTCCGCTGTTGATGGGCACCTGGGTTGATTCCATGTCTTTGCTTTTGGTAATGACACTCCAGTGAACATACGTGTGGGTGCATGTGTCCCTTTGGCAGAACAACTGATTTTCCTTTGAGTATATACCCAGTGATAGGATTACTGGATTGAATGGTGGTTGAAATCTTAGTTTTTAAAAATCCCGGACTGCGTTCTATAGTGGCTAGACGAATTCACATTCTCACCAACAGTGTGTAAGTGTCCCTTTCTCTCCACAGCCTGGCCAACATCTGCTTTTGTTTTAGTTTTTAACAAAAGCCATTCTCATTGGTATGAAACAGTATCTCATGGTGGTTTTGATTTGCATTTCTCTGGTGATTTGTGATGTGGAACTTTTTTTTTTCCATGTTTTGGCCGCAAGTATATATATCTTCTTCTGAGAAGTATCTGTGTCCTTCGCTCACTTTTTAATGGGGTTGTTTTTTGCTTGTTGATTTCTTTAAGTTCCTTATAGATTTGAGATATTAGACCTTTGTCAGAGGCATAGTTTGTGAATATTTTCACCCATTCTATAGGTTGTCTGTAAATAAACTTCTTTTTCAGTTATGCAGACATAGGTCTCCATTTATGTCAAGACATAGGATATCATGTATTCAATGATTTGGATGAAGTATGTATAATTCATGCACATTATATGTCTCTACCCTTGAGACAACTTAAAATCTTCACTTGAAGTCATAATTTTAAAATATTTTCTTTTCATTTGTATCCATCCTGCTGTACCTAAAACTTTATCACCAGCAAAACAGGGAAAAGTGTAGGAACTCAGCAGGAAATTATGAAAGGGGGAACAAGGTGAAGGGGACAGATTTCCTGCCAAATCTGGGTTTTTGTGTCATGGTCTAAAACGTACTCAGAGTGTGTTCTGTGCACCAATATTATCAGCATCACCTGGAACTTGTTACGAATGCAGAATCCCAGGCCTCACTTGAGACCCACTGAATTAAAATCTGTATTTTTATAAGATCTCCAGGTGATTTATATTCACAATCAAATTTGAGAAGCACCACTCTGAAGAATATGCCTATGTAATTTTTCTTGGGATAGGCATATCTTTTTCACATGTATTTTTTTTTCAGAGACATGTTTGAAGTTATGCCAAACATGAGAATGATTACTTGCTTAAAGCTGTAGAAACATGTAAAGGTATAAATATCAACATAAACATAGTGAAGTGTAAGTCAATGTCTACTCTCTGGTCTTCAACTGCTATATGACATGGTATGAAAGGAAAGCATTAAGCATTTGAAAATCATGTACCTCCTCATACTCCTCATGTCCTAGCTGTAAACCCTTCCTTGTCTTCCTCATCCTTAGAAGAAGAAATCAAGTCTTCAGAAAGAGGCAGGCATTACATTTAAAGGCTGTAAAAGTTATCTCCATTTAGATCACACTTGGGAGAGTCATACTCAGTCCTCTTTGTGGGTAGAGCTGTCTTGAAGCCCCTTTGCCTGGTGTGTGGGGGCCTTCTCAACAGTTGTATTCCCAACTGCAGGGTATAATTTGCTAGCCCCAACTTCTGACCCAATTCCCTGTCATTATCTGACCTAATTGTTTCTTAACCTTCTACCTAATTGTTTCTGAACTTTCTGAACAGATGTAATAGGGTTCGAAATAAATATCATATTTGTATTTTTATTATTACTGGTTGATAACACCTTGTTTTCCCAATTCCATAATTATCTATGAATTGATAGGGGACTAGAGGATACCGTCAGAGAAGGTGTTTCTCCAGAAGGAAGGTGGAGAGTAGAGGAAGGATAGCAAGCATGTGTTTTCGTTCCTGTATTTCACTTCTTCATCCTCAGACTGAATCAAGTCATCAAGGTCAGAATTGATGGTTTCAGTAATTTGTAAAGAGATTGATTTTCAAGGCCTTTGCTCATTAACTCGCAGAGGAGTAACCAAAGTTATGTAATATTTGACTCTCTGAAAACCAGTATTACAGGGCACACAGTTTTAATGAAAAGTATTTAGGTGGATTTTGTCTTTTTGCCTTGTAAGTAAAAGATACAGCCTTTACATTTATTGAAAATCTGATGTATTTTTAGGGAAAATTGGGTCCTTGTGAAAATCGAATCAGCGAAAAGAGGAGAGGTAATGACTTTGTGTCATTTATCAAATTTGCATTTACTTTTGGCCCAGCTGGTACTAAGAATCCCAGAAATATTTTCCTCGTCTCTAAGACTGACCTTACCTCACTGTCTGTTGCTGTATTTTCTGAAGTTTTATACATGCTTACAATAAAACAAATAATCATCATCAACTTTGGGGAGTACGGAGAGTAGGAGAAAGAAAAAGTCGGGGGAAACGTTAAATGAAATTTGGGTTTGAACAGGAGCAATTATGTAAAAATTTATTACTAAACTTTGCCAAAATGGGTCAGAATTGAGCTGATGGTTCCCAGAAGAATTGAAATCATAGTTCTTCAGTTGGCAAAGGGGCTAAAATACATTTAGCCCAGTCCCCTCTAATTCCTTCTCCCTCACTGCCATTTTAAGCCTGAACGTAGGCCTCCCGTGAAACGAAAACTGCTCCCTCTTGAGGCAGCCCATGAATTTGCACAAGCCTATTAAAAAATACGTAGATCTTCATATTAAATCCAAATCTATTTCCCATGGGTTATTTCATTCAACTGTGCTAGGCACAAATGTTCTAGGACTAACAAATCAGACATGGTCTGTCTTCTCTGAGAACTTACAATCCAGGGTGGTGCCATGTCTCCCCTGCTAATTCATATATTGAAAGTCTGACCCCAGGATGATGGTTTTAGTAACTGCGATTTTAGTGGGGTGAGGAGGTCCTGAGAGCAGAGCCTTTGTGATTGGTATTAGTGTCTTTATATAAAGGGGGTCCAAGAGAGAGCCCTTATCCCCTTCTCCATGTGATGTTCAAGTGAGAGACAGCCATCCAAGAACCAGGAAGCAAGCCCTCACCAGACTCAGAATCTGACAGTGCCTTCATCTTGGACTTCCCAGTCTCCAGAACTGTGAGAAATAAATGTATTATTTATAAGCCAGTCAGTCTATGGGATTTTGTTATAAGCAACTGAATGGGTTAGGACACAGGCTAACATGATTTGACAATTAGAAATAGGATTAGTGCCCAACAGAGAAGAATGGAAACAGCAGAAGCCAGTGGCCAGGAGCCCACAGTCTATAGGCCAGGGAAGGCCTTGAGGAAGTGATTATTTCCTAAAGGATAAGGAGGGGTTAGCTGGGCCTACTGAGTTCTTCCTGCTTGGGGCCAAGGAGCGTAGGCCTAAAGCTTTTCCAAATGGCAGCCCTCTTATTTGAAGATAAGATTATGCCTCTCTTCAGTCTTTGTTTTACCTTGACTGACATTTCCAAGTTCTGTTACCGTTCTTCATCTGACATGGTATTAAACATATTTACCATCCAAGTATTAAGTTTTAAAGTGTATCACCTGGAAACAAATATGCCAGATGAAACCTGAACAGCCTCGACTGAAATGGGATCTTCATCTTTCTTTTGAGTTGTTGTAATTCTTATTGGTTCACCTAATAATATGTAAAGACTCAGTAAACACATTATTGACCCTTAGTGTCCTCATTACCAATTAAAGTTTTTAACAAATTTTTAATATATATTCTTGTAAAGTCATACCTCTTTTTTCTTATTTTTTCCCAGTACGTGGTTTTGAGCCCTAGTGTAGAATCGTACATTTATCCCTAGTAATGTTTATCACCTTATTAGACCCCATTCTTTTAGGTTGTAATGACCTTTTTTTGGAATCTAATGCCTACTTCTAACTAATGTGTTATATTCCCAGATTTATGTAAGGTCTGGCTGGCATTTTCTCTCTGACTGCATGTCAAGCCTGTTGCATAGGACAGGAAAATCAGATACCCTGATCCTCTACCAATGACCTCCACTGAGATAAAAGCGGGTACCTTGGGACATGT